CCAGGCCTCTGGGCAGGCGTCTTTCCTGGGTCCAGAGTGGCTGGTGATCCGCACCTGGTTGCTGCTTTTGGCGTAAACTCTGCCCTCCCTCCGTCGTCCTTCATGGAACCAGCTGTTCTGCAGAGGCCCAGCAGGCAGCCGGGCCCAGTCCTGTGCCCCTGCAGCACCCCCCACCCGCAGACCAGAGGGGCCCTCCCCTGTCCCCTGGGCTGTGTGTCCCGGACCCTGCTCCTTCCCAGGACCTGCAGCTCGGTCCTGTCTGGTGAGGGCCCTTAGCTCTGGGCCCCTGTGGGGTCTGGGAGAGCCAGGAAGGGCAGCCTTCTGTGAGTGGCCCAAGGATGGCGTGTGCTCCCACACCGGGAACATGGGTCCCGTGAGCTGCTGCACGTTCAGCAGGAGCCTGTGACTGGGTGCCCGTGAGATGGACCGTGGAAGTCACTTTCTCTTTGGGAAATAGCTTCAGACTTAAAAGCATTCGGCTTAACCAGTAAAGTCATGGTTGGGGTTAAACTCGTCCCCTTGAGCTAGAACTAAAGGACTGTGCTTCCACTCCCAGGAGCAGAGCAGGACTGACAGACGCCGCAGAGAACCCTGGGGGGCGGAGCGGCCCCTCCACAGCGTCGGCTGCCCCGGGCTGACTCCGTGGACACGGCAGGGCCGCCCCGCAGCTGCCCCAGGTGGCGCGTCTGCGAGGCGTGTGGACGAGTTTTGAACTCCGTGTGTGTCTTTTGCGAGTCCTTTGAAGAGAGACGTCTCCTGTGGCTGCTCTGTGGTTTTTCCTTGTTTGTTTTTTTTTAAGAGGGACGTCCCTGAAGAACCCCAGCCTACATTCTGAGTGTCGCTGACATTTATGTAAGTCGGGGTTTTGAAGGGCACACGTCTGCATGGACAGAAGAGTCCTACTTGCTTCTCTGATGGGTAATAAAACCCAGAGAACTCTGAACTGGTCCTGTATTTTTGGTACTTCCTGTCGCATGAGACACAGTATTCTGGGGCCCTCAGCGTGACACGGCTCCAGCCTTGCTCTCCGGCCCTCTCGGCCACTCCAGCGGTCCCGATCGGGAGGTGGGTGGAGCTGCACTGGCCCCGGGCTCCTAGCTGTGCCTGTTCGCATGGGGCTGGGAAGTCTGTCGTGTTTGCTTGTATGACGCGGGCTGGCCGCCCCTCGGCACCGACCGCAGCGCGCTCGTCCTGTGGGACTACGACCGGATGGCTTGACCGGCTCCTGCCCTTCTCCACCGCCAGGGGCCCTTGTCGGACAAGCTGCTGAGCAGGGTGCAGGGGGGTACAGAAGCCTGGGGCGGGGGTCCTGCCTGCTGTGTCCCCCACAACGTCCCACCCGCCAGCTGCCTCGTTGGGCTTCTGGGCCAGTGTCCTCGGCCCACTGTGGGAGTTCGCTTCTTAACGCGTGTGCGAACTTCAGGGAAGGCTCTGAGTGCTCAGTGTCTCCTGGCCCTGCGTGCCACCGATGCTTCAGAATGTGGTCGTTCGGGCTGCAGGCGCCGTGCCCACGAGGGCAGCATCCCGGCCCGGTTGCACCTGTGCACTAGGATGAGTCCTCCTGCCTGCTCCTGCCCGGCCCTGGGGCGCAGGGGCCCAGGGGCATGGGCTTGTGCTCGTCCCTTGTGCCGGCATGTGCCTCTCCTGTGGCCGGCTTCTCCGGGCGCTTCCCAGGCCCCTACTGGGGCCCTGGACCTCGATGGTGGGGAGCATGTGAGTTGGGGTCTCCCTCGGCCTCTGGCTTCCTGGGCAGCTCCGGCCTTCAGCCTCGCGCCTGCCCGCCCGCCAGGGCTCCGTCTTCCCAGGCTTTCCTTTGTGGGCTCAGTGCTGAATGCTGTCGGGACCCGGGGGTGCTGTGAGGGCCATCCTGGAGCCCTGTTCTGCCAGGTAAGTGGCAGTGCCCGGGGATGCCTTCCCCCGCCGTCCTGTGTGGCTCGGGCCTGTCCCTGAACAGTGTCCCCAGGTTGCAGGCTGGCGGAGGTGCTGCCCTGTACCCCCCAGGTGGCCCCCAAACCCTATCAGAGTCACGCCTCCCATTAGCCTGAGCCTTACTGTCACAAAGACCACCTTCGCTGCAGCCTCCGCGCCGTTCTCGCAACCTTGGCACCCTTACCGCACTTTCCCTGCCCCTCTGGGGCTTGAAGTGGGACTTCCCTTCAACTTTGGTCCCTGTGGGTTCAGACTGGGGGTCAGTTTGGGGTTATATTTCTTTTTTGGTTTTTTTTGAGACACAGTCCCACTGTCCGTGTGAGTAGAGTGCTGTGGAGTCATCATGGTTTACTGCAGCCTCCAACTCCTGGGCTCAAGAGGTCCTCCTGCCTCAGCGTCCCGAGTAGCTGGGACTACAGGTGTGACCACATGCCTGGCTAATTTTTTTCTGTTTTTAGCAGAGACGGGGTCTCGCTTTTGCTCAGGCTGGTCTTGAACTCCTGACCTCAAGTGATCCTCCTGCTTTGGCCTCCCAGATGCTAGGATTACAGGCGTGAGCCACCGCACCTGGCCTGTGGTTGTCTTAAGCGCTCGTGACACAGGCCTCCAACAGGACAGGCCTCAGCCCTCCCTGGCAGGTCTCCGCCTTGCATCTCTTACTTACCAAGAAATAGCCCAGAAAAGGCCGCTGTTCCTACTTCCCTGTTAAACTCCTGAGCCTCCTTTCCCCTAGTTCCGGGCATCTTCACTTGTCACCTTGTCTGCATACACAGTGGGGCATCAAGTGAGGCGGGGCATCAAGTGAGGCGGAAAGGACTCAGTGGGACATCTCAGCCGGTGACACCCCCTGCCAGGCCCTGGGAGCACCCACAGCCCTGCCTATCTGGGTAGCAGGTTGGGGAGCTCCATCCTGCCCGAGCGCGTATGGTGAGACCTGGCTGAGACTGCAGGGCAAGCTCAGGCCACCGTGGAGCTGCTGCTGGGCCTGGGTCTGGCCGGGCTCCTCCTCCAGGGCCTCCCTCCCGCCTGCAAACGACCCGCCACACCACAGGGGCTGTGGTGGACCTCCTTGAACCCATCTGTCTCTCTCCTTGGGAGTCTCTCTCCTTGGGAGTCCGACTCGGAGCTTGTGAAGGACTCTGATCCCAGAGGTGGACAGGCGCAGCAGCCCAGCTGCTTCTGGGGGCCATGGGGGACCCGAGAGGGTGACCAAGAACGCACATCGGGTGGGGACTGTTCCGGTCACACTGCTGGAGCACAGGGACCAGGAGTGCCTGGGAGCTCAGTGAGGTGTCTTTAAGTTAAACCTCAGATCAACCACCTAAGTATGTTCTTTTTTTATTAATTAGTAATTAATTTTTACAGTGACTAATACAGATTTCAGTAGATCACTGAATTATATTCTAAAAGCTATTTTAATTATCCAGGAAGGCAGGAAATATATTTAAAGCATTATAAGCTTATTTAAATAGACTGACATAACTTAAAAGGTAAGTGATCACTCAGAATTTCTAAGCCAGCTGGTCTGTTTCTCCAAAATAGAATCAATGGGACACTTGTCCCCAGGGGCTCGTGTCTGGGGATTCGGTCTCTTGTCTCTGAGCAGGTGAACCCTCTCCCTGGGGACCCCTAAAGTCAGACACAGCCATTGGGGGTGGGGGCGGTGGCTCCCTCGGTCCCTTCCCAGGGACTGGCCTGTGTGTGGGCACCGCCCCGACACCCCCCATGACCTCAGCTGGACGCTGAGAGCTTTCAGGCCTCCTCTTGCCCTCCACTCAGGCAGTTAGCCGGGAGCGTCTCCCTCCTGGGCCTTCCTCCTTGTTGGTTTGTGTATCGTTGTGGGCTTTCCAGCATCTCTTTACTGTTAGAACTGAGCGAGACTCGAGACTCGGGGTGTGGTGTCAAGGTTGGCTTTGCCTTTGCTGAAGGGCTCAGGTTTCAGAGTGAGCAGGCGCTTCACCCCATGTTTGGATCGGGGCGCAGAGATCAGGAGAACCAAGTGCAAAGGAAGTGCATCCGGACCTGACGCGAACCCCGGAAAAGGCAGCAGCTTAAGAGAGAGTGGCGGCGGCGCGAGCAAAGACACAGACTAGGGTCTCTGCAGCCAGGCTGGGTGGGCATGTTAGACGCCGGGCTCGGGTCTCCCTGGGGAGGCTGAGGCTGTGTGGGCGCCAGTGCCGCCCCAGCCTGTCTTTTCTGTGGGACCTGTGGGCATGCTGGTGAGGCCCTGCCAGCTGGGCCTCAGGCGCATGGATGGCACCACGGGCAGGGAGGCGAGGGGCTGGGGCCTGCAGGTGCTCCCAGGGCTAGTCCGCAGATACTTTCGTCCGAAGTTCCTTAACTGTGAAATTCAGCTACACACAGAATGGCATTTTGCACATGTTGGACAGAAATAAGAGAATCAAGCCCCGACCAGAGAGGTTCCAGAACTGCAAAGATCTGTTTGATCTGATCCTCACTTGTGAAGAGAGAGTCTACGACCAGGTGGTGGAAGGTGAGTTTGCAGACCCCGTATCTGCCCGTTCCCCGGCCAGGCCGCCTTGCCCCAGGCGCTGCCCTGCCTGGCACTGGCAGGGCCCACGGGGGGGCAGGGGGGCAGGCCACAGGGCTGGGGAGCGCTGCTGGAAGGGGACGGCCCTGAGGTGGGGGCAGGTGATGGTGGCCCTTCTGCTTGTGTGCTGGCTGACAGCCTCATAGGCCTTGGGGGCTCCTGTGCAGGGCGCTGAGCCGCGTGTGGGTGGGGGCTGGCGTGTAGGGAGTGAAAAGTGGCTTCGCCTGGGACCAGCTGGCTGTCAGGGGCCAACTGGGCGCCTGGCCTTGGGGTCCGTGTCCGCTGAGCCACGTGCAGTGCGGGGCTCCCCTCGGGAGGAGGTTCTCAGACGTGCTCAGTCTTTAGTTGTTTTCCTGAAACCCCAGAGAGCAGGAACAACTGAGGCCAGGCCAGGGGCAGGTCGGACAGGGTAGGGGACCTGACCACACTGACCGCCTGTCGTCTGGTTCTGGATGCTCTGACGTCTGTGCCCCTTTGTCCCGATCAGATCTGAATTCCAGAGAACAGGAGACCTGCCAGCCAGTGCATGTGGTCAACGTGGACATCCAAGACAACCACGAAGAGGCCACCCTGGGGGCTTTCCTCATCTGCGAGCTCTGCCAGTGTGTGAGTGCCCGGGGGACCCGCCCCCACCCTGGGCCAGCTCCGAGAAACCTGGCCTCAGCCATCCTTGCAGCGTGTGCTTTGCAGGGGGTCCTCAGAGTCCCTGCCATGGGGGAGTGGCCACGCCCACCCCCACTGCACAAGGAAGGGGCTTCCGTGGTGATTCAAGTCATTTTTCAAATGCTAAGACGCAAGTAAATGTCGTGGGGTTCCTGAGTTTGAGACTTAACCAAGTGGCTTTGGCTTAAGCCCCCATGCAGCTGACAGTAGCAGCCAGTGAAGCCAGTTTTGTGTCCACCAAGGTCTCCAGGACACAGGAGTCACCTAAGGAAGGGGCTGGCGCCTTCCTCTTCCCCATAGCTGGAGGGTGTCCCTCAGCCCCCAACATGGCTGGCAGAGTGGGTGACTCTCCCGCTGGAGTGGAGTCAGAGGAGTGCCCTGTGTGAGCCTGGGGACCCCAGTGGTGGCGTCTGCCAGCCTCTGGGCCCTCCTCTCTCCCCGGGGACATCTGGCACTGTCTGGCCCAACGTGGTTGCCATGGTCAGGAGGGACGTGCTGGCACCCGGCGGGTGGAGGCCCCCTGCAGTGCGCCAGAGGCCGGCACCACGGTGTGGTCAGTGTCCTCCTGTGGGAACCGCACTGGCGGCGGGGCCTCTGTAGGTCATTGCCCACCTTCCCATCCACACCCGGCCACAGCAGGGGTGGGCCCAGAGCCGCCCTGGGGACCCTGTGTCCTTGAGACCCTGGCCATGCTGGTCAGCACCAGGGCATGGCCGTGTGGTGTGGGCGTGGGGTTCCCCGGAGGTCCAGGTGTCCCTGTGGGAGGAGACGCCGCTCCGAGGTCAGGCTGGGGCGGGGAGGGTCCCTCACGGTGGCGTCGCTGTCCTTTGCAGATCCAGCACACCGAGGACATGGAGAACGAGATTGAGGAGCTGCTGCAGGAGTTCGAGGAGAAGAGCGGCAGGACCTTCCTGCACACGGTGTGCTTCTACTGACGCGCCCAGCGGGCCGCACTGCTGCTGACACCTCTGCTGTCGCCCAGTGGGCGCCATCCTGAGCCTCCTTTTGTTCATAGTTTTCGTTCTGATAACTTGTTTTTACTTTTAGGTATTCTGCCGTGTAACACTGGTAGTGTTGCCAGTAAACTGTACATGTGAAATGAGAAGACACATGTCAATGCCATATTACAAACAGTCAGGCTTTTCCATCCCACTTTTATTTATGAGTGGGATATTGATTATAAAGGTTTTTTCTGTAACCAAAAAAAAAAAACAAAAAAAAACGGTTTATCGTGCATTTCCCTGGACACACCCGTGTCCTCACCTGTGCCTGTCGTCCCTCCCCCACCCGGCCGGACTGTTCAGATGCCGAGGGAAGCAACAGGCTGTATCTTACCAGGAAGCAACCTGGCACTGTCCAATAAACAGACGCTGCTGGTCATCTCTGCTTTGTCCTGAGTTCCTGGCCTGCCCTGAAGACCACGTCCCTCCCCTGCCCCTCCCCTGTGAGGACTGCCCCTGGGGACCCCCAAGGACTTACCTGCAGTTGACTCTTCTCTCCCGCCATGCTGGGGAGGGGGCTCCTGTGCTGTTCGGGCCAGAGGAGGAGGGTTTGTCTGGAGGGACCCAGGGGATAGGGCCAGAACGGAACCGTGGGCTCTGGGCCTCACGAGTCAGGCTGCCTGACTCCGGTGCCTGGGCTGACCCCGCCGACAGCGCGTCCCCCTCACCTCTGGCTGCACTTTCAGAGTGACCTCTCCAGCAGCTCCTCGGTGACCTTGCAGGCGCCTCCACTAAAGACCTAGCGCGCGAGGGGGCTGGGCTGTCCGGCTGCCCGCGGGCCCCTGGGCCCCTCTCCGGGCCGCTGGGCAGGCCACTGGTGGGTCCGGGCGGCGGCGGGACGCGGAGCTGCGGTCTTGAGGAGGCGTCCGGGCTACGTCTGGGGGTGACGGTCCCTCCCGGCGCGGCGCTGGCGCGGGGCGGCCCGCGGGCGGCGCGGTCCCTCCCGGGAGGCGGAGGAAGGCGGCAGGGAGCGGGAGGGAGGAGTGAGCAGGGAGGGGGCCCAGGCCGAGCGGGCGAGCGAGCGAACGGAGCGCAGGGAGGACCGGAGGGCGGAGCGGAGCGCGGCGGGCCGGGCCGGGCCGGACCGAGCGACCCCAGCAGAGCGGCCCCCGCATCCCTCCCCGCGCCCCCGCCCCGCGCCTCCTCCCCCGGCCGGCGGCGGGGTTGCCGCGGGCGGCGGCGGCAGGTCCAGGAGGCGCTGACCTCTGCGGGGCCGGGGGGGCGCCGGGGCCGGGGGGCGGCGCTCCGGCCCGGCCCGGCCCCGCCCGATGTCCATGAGCGCGAACACCATGATCTTCATGATTCTGGGGGCGTCGATCGTGATGGTGAGCGGAGGGGCTTCCTGCGCGCGCCCCCTGCTCCCGCCGCCCGCGCGCGCGCCGCCTCCCCCACCTCCCGCGCCTTGTTTACCGGCCCGTGCGGCCTGCGCGCCCCTTCCCGGCCTGTGCCCCGGTCCCCAGCCTGCGCCCCTGGCCCCAGCCTGCGCCCCCGTCCCCAGCCTGCGCGCCCTCCCCGGCCTGCGCCCCCTTCCCCAGCCTGCTCGCCTCCGGTCCTGGTTTGCGCCTCCTTTCCCGGCCTGTGCCCCCTTCCCTGGCCTGCTCGCCTCTCCCCGCCTTGCTTCCCCTTCCCGGGCCTGCGCACCCCTCCCCGCCTTGCATCCCCTTCCCGGGCCTGCGCGCCCCTTCCCTGGCCTGTGCGTCCCCTCCCCCAAGGCCTGAGCTCCCTCCTCCCTGGGCCTCAGCCTGAGCTCTCCCCTCCCCCCACCCCGCCCGTGCTCCCCTGCCCGGCCTGCGCCCCTCTCCTCGGCTCCCCTGTGCCCCTGCCCAGGTTTCTCCCCACCCCCATAACCCCCTCCAGCCCGCCTGCGCCTTCGCGCTGACCGGTCATGGGCTCTTCCAGGCCATCGCGTGCTTGATGGACATGAACGCGCTGCTGGACCGATTCCACAACTACATCCTCCCGCACCTGCGGGGCGAGGACCGCGTCTGCCACTGCAACTGTGGCCGGTGAGTCCGCGGCGCCGCGCCGGGCAGGACACGCGTGACCACACATGTGCCGCGGGGCCCACTTGGGCTGCCGGCGACCCCCACGCAGGCCACAGAGCCGCACTAGACCTGTGGGGGTGCAGGCGGCCGCCAGGTGCGCTGGGGGAGGGCGTCTGACCGGACCGCCCCCAGGGTTGGGGGAGAGGTCTTCCAGGAGGAGGAGGCACGCCTGAGTCAGGTGGACACCACCCACAAGTGCCTTTAGAGGCCTACCAGGGTGCTGTGGACCTGGGGCTTGGGGAGCAGCAGCCCAGCCTGGTCCACAGTGTAGCCGGGGCAGGGAAGTGCAGATCACGGTGGGAGGGGCCTATGGGGGGGCACCTGATACACCCCATTGCAGAGAGCAGGAACTTTGGTCAGGGAGGGGGTGGGGGGGCGGGAAGGTGGAGCTAGCTCAAGGTCACTCAGAGATCCAGGGAGAGCCCAGGCCCCTACACCCACATCGATACCCCCCTTCTGTGCACGTGGTGATGGAGTCTCCCTGGCCATGCATGTTTGTACGTCCATGTACGAAATAAACATCTTCTCGTGAGATGCGCATGTGTGTACCGTCTGTGCATATACATGTGCGTACACACAGCGCACACGCACATACGCATGCACCTCATCGCAGTGACCCTTGTCATCCCTGCTGGACAGATGAGAGAGCAACAGAGGCCTTAGAGAGATGGACTTGCCCAAGGTCACACAGCTAGGAAAGGATGGAGGGGCCTGGCCCCCAGAACCCGCGTCCCCACCCCTGCCCTGCAGCCCTGCCCCAGGGTCTGTGTGCACACGTGTGGGTGCAGGGTGGATATAAGTCAGGACAGGTGCATGTCTCACTGAGTGTGCTACATGCTTCTAGGCACAGACAGGTGTGCTGATGCAGAACACGGGCCTTGGAGCAGGTAGAGATGAAGCTGTACGTGCCCCTCACGTGTGCTGGCCATGTGGAGAGAGTTTGCTGGGTGTCCCACCCGTTCCCAGAGAGCCCTGCCTGGCATGTCCAACCACCAAGGGAAGGCAGGAGGTCAGCTCCACTGTTCCCAGAGGCTGGGCCCTGGCTCCGAGCTCCACAGACACGAGTAACATGCACTTACATGTGTGGGCTGTGACTGGCGTGAATCTGCCTGAGACCGCACACTGAGGGTCCACCTGGGCAGACAGAGGGCATGTTTTAGCGTGTATTTGCATAGGTGTGTATGCATTTCATGCAATCTCCAGAATACATGTGGACTCGTGTAAACAGCTGCCCATAGGTGCAGAAAACAGTCACATCCTGCTGCAGACATAGGGTGTTTCTGCGTGTGTGCACGTGTCTACATATATATGCTTTGTACACGTCTCTACATACGGGATATGTGAATTCAACGTACAAAGTACTCTTGTATATTGACAACATATATGTGTATGGAAAGTACATATATATAATACAATATACAGCGCAGAGTGTGCTCAGGGAAAATGTCGAAATGTCTCCATGTGAGTACAAAAAACGTGTATGCAGATAACAGTTTTGCACATGGGGTATCTGTGTATACTCCATGTACATGCACTGCCACAATGGCCTCTACCCATGTGCACACACTGTGTGCAAAATAAGCATGTGTACATGTGTATGCCTTGTACATGCCTGTGCAGAATTTTACATGGGGGGTGTGTGTGGGTATTAATGCTCTGAAATACAGGTGTCAGTGGCATCTGTGTCTGTGCACATCCGTGCACGTGGCAGTCGCCCCATGGAGAGGATGGCTGTGTGCAGAGCTGGGTGAATGCGCACCCACATGTGACACGCACCACACTCAAGCCTGGGCGTGAAGCTCACGGGGCCCATGTCCACTGTATACACGCCATGTCCTGTGCATGTGGCTGGCGTGTATACTCAACATACATTGGATCTCAGGTGGACACATGTATGTACACGTCCCAAACATATGTGTGCAGAAAGCACATCTTTGCAGAGGTCTGTCTCATTCTGCCTTCATCTGTGAGACCCGAGCACCCCCAGGAGGGGGAGGCCAGGGCAGGGCAGGAGGAGCTGCAGGTGCCCAGGCCAGTGACGGATTGGGAGGAGCTTTCTCCCTGGGGGCCGCTGGCAGCCACGCATTATAGGTGATGACCATTAGTTTTCCATCATGATGACAGATGGTGGGTCAGTCACCGTCACTCCTTGCCCCTCACCCGAGAGCTGGCAGCCCTCTTGGTAGGCTGTGGTGGCCCCAGCCCTGCCACGCTGAAGGGACTGGCCGCTAGGGGCCCAGGAAGAGGGGTTCCAAGGAGAGCGGGCAGGGACTAGGCCTGGGGCCCCACTGGGGGAAGGTGTGGTGTGGACACCTCGCTGAGGGGACCCGGAAGCAGGTTTGAGAGGAGCTATTTTGAGGCACAAGTGTGAGGTGTCTGCAGATCGCAGCAGACACGAAGCTGGAGTGCAGGGGGCGATGTGGGTGTGGACCCAGCGTCCTGGGCACCCGGGCCGAGGCTGCCTCCCCTGGCCCTTCTGTGTCTGCTGCCCCGGGAGCCAGGCCCTCTGCAGGGCCACCCCACGGGGACCATGGGGCCCAGAGGGCTTCCTGGAGGAGACATCGAGCCAGCCCAGGAAGGGGTGTGGGTAGCTGGAGGGAGCTGCCTAGGGATCGAGGGCCCGAGCCTGGACAGTCCCCCAGGAGCCCAAGGAGAGGAAGATTGGCTCGAGGAGGTGGGCCTTGGGGCCTCTCCAGCTCAGCCCTGGACAGCGGGACACCGTCCACTCCAGGAGCAGCTGAGAGGGCCAAGGACAGGCGGGTCTGAGCCAGGCATGGATGAGGGAGTTCCGCCAGGGTGGGGTGAGGGCAGGGCGCCGAGCAGAGCCCCCAAGACCTCCGGCACAGTGAGTCGGGGTAGGGGAGGCACCAAGTGGCAGAGCAGAGGAGGCCAGGGGTCATTGGGCACAGAGGCCAGAGGCCAGGCTGACCGTGGGGAGGCTGCAGGGCAGGCACACGGAGCAGACGGCCAGCGCTCAGGAAGGTGCTGGGAGAGGCCAGAGGGCAGGTCCCCAAGGAGGCAGCAGGGCCTCTGTGCCACCGGCCGTCCGGCTGTGCTCCGTGCTGGCGTTGGCAGTCCTGGGGGCCAGCAGGTGGGCTGTGAACCCAGCCGCCGGCACAGGCCGTCCCGGGCCCTCACCCAGCACGACGCTGCTGCCCACGAGTCCCAACCGCGCCCGTGGCCGCCACAGGCAGGGCCGCTGTCGCACAGCAGCTCTACCCTAGCCCGGGCGGGTGCGATGCCTCCCTCCCAACCAGCCCAGGGGGGCGGCTTCAAGGCCCCCGGAGGCCCTGTGGGGGTCACGACACCCACCCGGGCCCGGCCCGCCCTGCCGCCCCCAGGCACCACATCCACTACGTGATCCCGTACGACGGGGACCAGTCGGTGGTGGACGCCTCCGAGAACTACTTTGTGACGGACAACGTGACCAAGCAGGAGATCGACCTCATGCTGGGGCTGCTGCTGGGCTTCTGCATCAGCTGGTTCCTGGTGTGGATGGACGGCGTCTTGCACTGCGCCGTGCGTGCCTGGAGGGCCGGCCGGCGCTACGGTGAGTGCCAGGCGCTGCCGGGGAGCGCCGCCGCCCCGGCCGCCCTGGCGCCTGACCGCGCCCTGTCCCCCTGCAGATGGCTCGTGGACCTGGCTGCCCAAGCTGTGCAGCCTGCGGGAGTTGGGCCGGCGGCCGCACCGGCCGTTCGAGGAGGCCGCGGGGAACATGGTGCACGTGAAGCAGAAACTCTACCACAACGGCCACCCCAGCCCGCGGCACCTGTGAGCCGCGCACGGACTCGCCGGGGCCGCTGGCCGCTGTGCGGATGCAAAAGGGACCTCGGGGACGCCCAGGCCGGTGGGACTGGACAGCGGCCTCGGGCCCAGGGTGTCCGGGGCTGTGGCCGGCCGGGCAAGTCCAGTGGAAGGTGCTGTCTCCTCTTCTTTTTATAAAGGGGGCGGGGTGGGGGCGGGGTGGGGTGGCAGAGGGGGCAGGCGCCCCAGAGGTGCAGGGGGCGGGGCTGGCGGACACCTGGCCGGGGCCCACCGAGAGCCGCCGTGTCCTCTCCTGCGCACCGCATGGGCTGTCCGTCTGCGTCTTGGAGCCGGCGCTAACGGAGGGAGGGAGGGGAGGGAGGCTAGGGCGAGCGCCCGTCTGCACACGGGAGCACGTGCATGGGGCGTGTGCGTGGCCCAGGGACGCGGAGGGGCGGGCGCCATGCAGCAGTAAGGCCCCCAGCTGCGGCGGCCCCAGGGTGGCCTGGCTGCGCCTCACTGTGAAGCCCACCCCTCTGTGGTCAGTAAATTCTGCAGAAAGCTCCAGCCTCTGCTTCTTCTGTCACCTCTGACCCCAGAGGGCCCACCCGACCCCGCACAGCAGCCAGGAGGCACACACGGGGGGAGTGTCGCGTCAGAGATTTTATTCCATTCTGGATAAAAGGCCCCAGCCCCAATCACGGGGTGTCACTGGTTGGCCAGGTCTGGCCTCAGACACCCACTGCCGGGTGGGCTGGGGCGCCGGGCCTCCTCCTCCGTCTGCCCCGCGGGCCCTGCAGTGCCTGGCTCTCCGGGGGAGCCGAGGGCAAGGACCTGGCCAGGCCCCCTCCTGAGGCTGGCAGCTTGGGCTGGCCCTGGGGGGGCGCTGTCCCGCTCTCCCCTAAGCCTGGGTGAAGACACCTCCCAGGAGTGTCCGGGGCGGAGGAGCCACCGCCCGGCCAGCCGCAGAGGCCTTCCGCGCAGCCCCAGCCGCCGATGAACGTTGGCAAGATGCCGCGGTGGGCAGGGCGGGCGCCTGTCCAGGGTGGGCTCAGGGGAGCTGGCGCTGGCTGCCCTCCGGCCTGGGCCCCTCGGCTGCCAGCCACTGCATCTTCTGCTGGTGCTGCTGCAGCGCGTCCTGCACGCGGGCGTCCATCATGGCCTCAGTGAGGACCCCGTCCTCGGAGGCGTAGGCCATGGCCTGTCGGGGAGAGGGGGCTGAGACAGGGGGCCAAGCCAGGGCACAGACAGCCCTCGGCCCAGCACGTGTCCCGTGCCGTGGCACCGCACACGCGTGCACACGCTGTGCTTACGGGGACACAGCACAGAGCAGTGCATCCCTGCAACGCCCCGAGGCCCTGGCGCCAGTGCCACATCTGCACTCTGCTGAGCGTCTCACTGACGAAGCGTGGGCCCAGTCACCCACCCGAGCGGACGGCAGGCAGGAGCCCAGTGGGGGCTCCCCGGGCCACAGGCCGCAGACGAGGCCACATGCACCCAGGGGCCAGCAGGCCCCACCCCACAGGCCTCCAGGACAGACTGCCCAGGGGCCACCCAACCTCGGGCACGTGGCAGGTCCCAAGGCTTTGGCCACCTTCGGCCAAGGCTGCCCCTCCCCCGTCCGCCCCCCAGATGACCAGGTGCCCTCACTCGGCAACAGCAGGAGTGGCCCAGGGAGGTCAAGCCATGTCCCTGGCACCATTAACAGGCAGCCCCACCCCAGCACCTCTGCCCTGGGCCGGGCGGTCTCCGCCCAGCCTGGCGAGGCTGTGGAGGGTGGGGGAACGCATGGGCTCTGAGAGCATCAGAAACGGGGCCCCCAACGGGTGCCGTGCTGAGGAGGGCACTAGGATGCCTGGAGGAAATGAAGGGTGACCCCGAGCTGGGGACCCCTCCTCCCAGGCAGCCAAGTGGGACCCTCACCCTGTACCCAGGGTGTTACCTCACAGGCACACGGTAGCACAAAAACTCCCACGACACGCTCCCTGGACAGCGTGGGGGAGCGATGCCAAGCACGGCGCGTACCAACCCGCCATCAAGACGAGCTTCGGGGACAGATGCTGACCTGGTGTCAGACCAGGGCGGGGCAGGGGCTCAGGAGCTACCAGTGTTCTCTGTGGTCTTGAGCCAACCCCAGAGAGGGCAAAGAGCAGGGCTGGGGGTAGTGGCGGTGTGGCCAGCCCCACCTACGTGACACACGTCTGCCCAGCCCAGGGGGCGTGGCCAGTGAGCCCACAAGTGACAACTGAACGTCATGGGTGTCCTCGATGGGCCCAGGGCTCTGTGCCATCCTCACATTCAAAAAAGGAAATGTTTAAAGGCAAGCCCTGGCCTGGATGGCTTCAGGCTGACTTCCCCTGAATCCACCTAACATTTCAAGGATGGACACCACTCTTTCTCCAGCTCTTCCAACAAAATCAAAGAGGGAACATTCCCACCCTCATTCTATGAGACCAGCATCAGCCCAATACAGAAGCCAGAGAAAGACACGACAAGAAAAGATGACTGCAGGCCAGCATCTGTGCCCAGCACTGCTGCAAACACCCTCGGCAAAACACCAGCAGACCAAATCCGCAGCACGGTAAAAGGACTGAGCCCCTCGATCGAACGGGATTTACTCCTGGAATGCAGGGACGGTTTAGCACGGGGAAGCTCATCAGCGTAGCACCAAGCTAACAGAAGGAAGGGGAAAAAACACATGATCATCTCAACTGAGGCAGAAAAAGCATCTGACAAATTTCAGCACCCTTTCTTGATGAAAACTCAGCAAACTAGGAAAAGAAGGAAACCTCCTCCACACAGGAAAGGCCACAGCTAACGTCACACTCAACGGTGAGAGACTGAGGCTTTTCCTTTGAGGTCAGGGATGAGGCAAGGGTGCCCCTGTTCCTACTTCTGCTCAACACAGTCCTGGAAGCTCTGCCAGAGGAACTAGGCAAGGGAGAGAAATAAAAGTAATCCACATTGAAGAAGAAGAGATGAAATTTTCTGTCTTCACATAACATCATCTTATGTGTACAAAATCTTAGCATCTACATTGAAACAAAAAATCTATTAGAATACACAAAGTAGCAGGGTACACACAGTCCAGGAACTGACCCAGAACAACCTGCGTGGGAAGTTAAGACCAAGATCGTAGCCACCCCGGTTCTGGGCCCTTCCCGTTGCTCTCCCTTTGCTGTGACAATGGGTCCAGTCATCATCTGTGGCATGTGTCATACTCTGTAACCTGTGTCTTGCTTTTGCTCTACAATCCTATCTTTCTCTCCTCAATAAACCTCATAAAAAAAAGTAGGATAAGGCCGGGCGCGGTGGCTCACGCCTGTAATCCTAGCACTCTGGGAGGCCGAGGCGGGCGGATTGCTCAAGGTCAGGAGTTTGAAACCAGCCTGAACAAGAACGAGAACCCGTCTCTACTATAAATAGAAAGAAATTAATTGGCCAACTAATATATATAGAAAAAATTAGCCGGGCATGGTGGCTCATGCCTGTAGTCCCAGCTACTTGGGAGGCTGAGGCAGGAGGATCGCTCGAGTCCAGGAGTTTGAGGTTGCTGTGAGCTAGGCTGACACCACGGCACTCACTCTAGCCTGGGCAACAAACTGAGACTCAGTCTCAAAAAAAAAAAAAAAGTAGGATAGAAAATCAACACAATCAGGCCGGACATGGTGTCACATGCCTGTAGTCCCAGCTACTCAGGAGGCTGAGGCAGGAGCCCAGGAGTTTGAGATTGCTGTGAGCGAGGCTGACGCCACAGCACTCTAGCTGGGGCAAGAGAGTGAGACTCTGTCTCAAAAAAAAAAGAAAAGAAAGAAAAAGAAAACCAGCACAATCAGTTTTGATCAGTATATTTCTATATACTGACAATGGATAACCTAAAAGGGGATGATGAGAGCAGTTCCATTGACAACAGCATCAAAAAGAATACTTAGAAATTAACCTAGGTGGTGAAGGTGGCTTGTACAGGGAAAACTATAAAACGTTGCTAGAAGACATTAAAAAACGGAAATATATTAACGTTCGTGGATAAGATTTAATATTAAGATGTCAATACTTCCGAAAGCAATCTAGAAATTCAATATAATCCATATAAAAATTACAATGAAGATTTTTTGCAAAAATAGAAAAAACCCATTCTAAAACTGACATGGAATCTCAAGGGATCCCAAACAGCTAAAAAAATATATTGAAAAAGAATAAAGCTGGAGGACTCACACTTGATTTCAAAACTTACTACAAAGCTACAGTAATCAAAACAGTGTGGTACTGGCATAAAGACAGATGTAGAGACCAGTGGAACAGAATCGAGAGCCCAGAAATAAACCCTCACACGTGTGGTCAAATGATTTTTGACAAAGGTGCCAAGAGACAGACAGTCTTTTCAACAAATGGTGCTGAGGCAGGGCGTGGTGGTGCACACCTATAATGTTGGCACTCTCGGGAGGCTGAGGCAGGAGGCTCGCTTGAGCCCAGGAGTTGGAGGCTGCAGTGAGCTATGACTCCACTGCACTCCAGCAAGGGCGACAGAGCAAGACCCTTTTCCCCACGAGCCTCCCAAGAAAAGGTGCTGAGAAAACTGGACACCCCCACAGAAGAATGACATTTGTACACTTCTACTTCATACTGTGTACAAATATTAACTCAAAGTGGATCAAAGACCTAAGAAATAAAACTATAAAACTCTCAGAAGAAAACACAGAGAAAAACACTGCACAACATTGGATTTGGCAAGGATTTCTCACATATGACACCAAAACCACAAACTACAAAATTTTGCTGAAAAACATCAGAAAATCAAAATACATTCATGTAACTAAAGAAAAAAATAGACAAATGAGATTTCATCAAAATTAAAAAGTTTTTTGTATCAAAATGACACTATCAACCAAGTAAATGGGAGAAAAATACTTGCAAATCATATATCTGAACACCATATAGAGAACTCCATCATATTCAGAACACCATATAGAGAACTCCAAAAATCCAACAACAAAAGAAAAAACTGGATTCAAAACTGGGCAAAGGACTTGCAGAGACATTTCTCCAAAGAACACACACAGCGGCCACTACGCACACGACAAGCTGCTCAGCGCCACTCGCCACCGGGGAGCTGGACTCACGCACCTCTCGCCCACGGGGACGGCTAAGTGCCGGCAAGGACGAGGAGAGACCAGAACCCTGTGTGGCCTGGCGGGACACGAAACGGTTCAGACGCTGTGGAAAGCAGGCTGGCAGCTCCTCAAACAGCTGCACTCGGAATCGGCACGTGGTGCCGCAGCTGCACTGCTGGGCAATCGCCCCGAGGAGCTGACGCCAAGGTCTCAGGCAGACACCTGCACACGCGAGTCCGGCATCCACAGCAGCCAGAGCCCAGTCACCCGCCCATCAACAGAGGAACGGGCAGATGCGGACCATCCGTGTGCGCAAGGGAGCGTCCCTCAGCCTTGAGGAGGAAGGAAACTGCGCTGCAACGCAGACCAGCCTGCTGCAGACACGCCGCTCGGGGACACGAGCCAGTCACAAACGGACAAGCACTGTCGGACCCCCCTGCACGAGGTCCTAGAGGGGTCGGACCCAGAGACGGGGCAGAACAGGGGGTGCCCGGCAGCCAAGGGGAGACAGGCAGTCAGTGCTCTACCGGTGCAGCTTGTTTGAGAAGATGAATATGCCTAATGACAATGCACTGTGCACTTAAAGGATAAAATGGCACATTTTATGGAGGAAAAAAAAGGCAGCAAATCCACAAGTGACTCAGAGTGTGAGGGCGCAAGAACTCGCATTGACACAACCAACGTGTGGGCAGCGGGGTCTGTGCGGTGCCATCAGAGGTGCCTCAGACACCAAGTCAGGGCCTAACTGGGAGGGAGGCCTGGGGAGGGGAGGGGGCGGCCACAGCGTGAGGCCGACACCCAAGCTGGACGCAGAGACGGGAGAGGCAGAGCCAGCCAGCGACCCAGGGAGGACAGGCCCCGAGAGCGCACCTGTGGGCTCCACCTCCACACGCTGCAGGCCTGCGCCCTCCCCGGCCCTCCCCCTGCCAGACACCTGCCCCGGCCACCGCGACGGGGAGGGAGCGCGTGCTGGGGCGCAACCTGCTCAACGGACTCGCTGCGTCCTCCCCGTGCTCCCGTGCGGAAGCCTGCCCCCCGTGCGGATGTTTCTGGACGGGACCTGAGGTCACCAGGTCAAAGGAACGCATGAGGGCAGGGCTCTGACCCCACAGGGTCAGTGTCCTAGAAGACATCCGGCACACGAGGACAGGACGCCTGGGATCTGACCGAGCCACACCCGTCGCGGATCTCCAGCCTCCAGAGCCGAGGATGCAGACTGTGGTTCTGAGGCCCCAGGTGTGCTGCCACAGCCCCAGCAGCTAAGGGGCCTCCAAGCGCCCTGTCCTCTGCTTGTCGGTTGCAGAAACCGACCTGGGTCCCGAGCAGGAACGCTGACCCACGAGGGGTGGAGTCTGCGGCATGGGGCTGCACCGCAGCCATGGAACGCGGTGCCCGGGGCCAGCGTTCAGAACGAAGAATCGGCCCACGCACTCGGACACACGCTCACTAAGGAGCACTGCTGAAGCCACAGCGGCAGGGCTGTCCCTCGGCCTCGACAGCCCCAGCGGCAGCAAGGCCTGAGCACAGCCACCGCCCCGACACCTGGTTTTCCTCACCCAGCACCTCCCGAGGCTGACACTTTCTGAAGCTTTCTGCGTGGCTGCGCCTGGCGCTTGTGGCTCCCCGCCCTGGGCCGCCCACACAGACGAGGACCTCGGTGTCGTGGAACAAATGGCGGCTGCTCCTGCCCAGGTCCCTGGAGCCACAAGGAGAGGCTGACTCCACTCACCCAGCCTTGACTCACTTGGGGACGTGTCCTAAGAGCTGGAAACCTGAGAGTTTTCACACACGGAGCAGAGACCGCCAGGCGCAAAGCACTTGACCTCAGGGCTGAGGGAGGGAGGCCACCAGCCCGTCAGCAGTTCCCTTCACGCCCACCAGCCTGCAGAGCCCCTGGCACCAGCGGAAGACAGGGCAGTTCACCCGTGAGGTCCCCAGGAAGCTCCACTTGATTTGGACCAGGACAGGATGGGCCGTGAGGTTAAGCCACTGAGACCTGCACCCCCCCACCCAAGGAACTGCACCACGTGAGGCAAGACAGGAGCAGAGATACAGAAGGTCCTCCGGGGTCTCCCAATCCGCCAGGTGCAGGCCTGCAGACACGGTGCCCGCACCCAGACCCACCTGCCACGCCACTGCGAGCTGGGCGATCTCGCGGCCGGACATGCCCTCTGTCAGCCGGGCGATCTCCGAGCACTTCCTCCCGTAGTCAAACTGGGCCAGCTTCAAACGCCTGCAGGAGGAGTTCCCAAGTGGGGCCTGGGGCTGGGGCCAGAGGTCGCCAGGCTCCCACGTGGCACAGGGGCAGGACGACGGGCGCCAGGCCGCCCTCCTGTGCTGGGTGGGGGAGCCAAACCTGCCCGACACCCCCACCCTCCTTCCTGACACACTGGGCACTTCCTTCCTCCTGGAGCCCTGGGGGTCGGGGGCTGGTCAGTGGGGACTCAGCCCCGAGACCCTCCCACATGGCGCCAGCAGCACACAGCAGTTCAGTCCTCAACTGACGGTGCCTCTGACCACACAGAGAACACCCCGCCCGCCCAGCAATGAAGGCTGACGGAAGGCCAAGGCAGCCTTCATGAGGAGGTCACAGACGCCAGTCTAGGTGCTGGGGTAGACGGGAGAGGGGGAGCTGGGCCAGCAGGAGATGGGCAAGAGGAACCCAAGGCCCAGAGAGTGGGGCTCGCAGGCACCCACAGGCAGAGGGGACAGTGGGGTGAGCCAAGTCCTTTCTAGAACAGAGAGCAGCTTTCCTCATCGCTGGCAACAGGAGGGATCTGGGTCAGGCGCACAGAAGGACGAGGAGTGCGGTGCTGAGACCGCGTCCCGGGAGAGGGCTGGAAATAGAGCAGCTCCGCTCATCCAGACTCAGGACGTCTGGGACGGGGGCGCCAGTGCCCCTCGCCACCCAGGGGCCCCTCTACCCACCACCGGCCCGTTTTCGGGAGTCTGAAGGCTAAAGCCAAGCGTCTCCCTCCGGGCTGGACCCAAGGGAGTCTGCCATCGGCCACCGGCTGCCGTGTGGGCCTGGGTGTGGCTCCGGGCGCAGGATTTCCTTAAGGCCCCTGAACAGTGAGGACTTCTGAAAACGTCTGTGCATTGACAGACCGTGGAATCCAACCCCCAGCTGGAGACACGGACGGACCACCCTCAGGTGGGGACGAGAAAGGGGCAGCAGGCTCCCGAGACGGAGCCACCTCTGCGGGGCCCGGAGGGACAGCAAAGGGCACCTGGGCCACACGGGAGCCCGGGCACAGCGCCAGGAAACCGCAGGGAAGGGAGACGGCGCCTGGAGGTGGAAGGACGGGCGTGGCCCCGGGGTGGGGCGTGGGGGTCGACGACACTTACTGCTTTCCTTCCGTGGCCGGCTTAAGAACATACTTGTCAAAATACATTCTCACCAGGCGCTCCCGCTCCTCCCGCTGCGGCAGGCCGAAGCTGACCATCTCGTCGATGCGGTCGTTGACGGCCCAGTCGAACTGCTCGGGCTGGTTGCTGGCCAGGACCAGCATGAACCTGCGGACACAGCAACAGCAAAGGAGGGTCTTTAAACCTCGAGGGAACTTTCTAGAATCTAACACGGCAGCTTTTAAGCCCAGAAACCCCCAGGAAGACCTGGCCACAGCCGAGCCTCCCAGCGGTTCCGTCTGTCATCCGTGTGGTAGGCGCTCGGCTTCCTGAGGTTCTGTTTTTGCCCAATTTCACTTTCCCCCCAAGCCCAGCAGGGCACTGTGAGCAGGAGGCCACCCAACCTCACTGTGAGAGCAGGCACGGGACCCACACCCGGGGCAGACACTGGCCATGCCAGGAGCCAGGGTCGTGGGGCTCAGCTGGGCAGAGGCGACCACTGGGCCTGGCAGGGACCTGACCTTCCTCTCTGGGGAGGGCTTGAGTTGGGCAGCAGCCACCACCCGCGAGAAGAGAGCATCTCAGGAGACAGCCACATGTGACCGGCAGGCCGTGTCCTCCCTGTGGAGGCGGCTGCAGACAGGACGGGCCTCGCCAAAGCAGGGTGGCGAGATGAGGGCCCCTGGGAGGGCCCATGCTGGCCACAGGGTGACCGCCCTGAGCATCCACCTCTGGGTGCAGCCAGAGAAGCAGGGCCAGGTCCCGAGGCCGAGGGCCCCGTGCTCCACGAATACACAGGCCCTTTGACATAGCAAGTGTGTGCCGGCTCAGGCCCCAGGGCGTCACGCCCTCCACGGGAGCTCAGCCTGCAGCACCAGGAGGGTCTCCCCTGCTCAGACCACCTCCGCTGCAGGCGCAAGGACAGCTGGAGCCAAGGAGTGGGCAGGCTGGGGGGCTGCAGAGGCCGTGTGCCCAGTGGAGTGGCCACGTGAGGCTGACGCCCGGCTCTGCCCAGGGCGTCCCTGGGGCGTGTCCTCAGTGACACTCCACCCAGCTCCCCGAGCGGGGGCTTGAGCGCCCTTCTCAGACACAGACACCCTGGCCCTGCCCCCGCATGTGCCGGGGCTCCTCGGTTTCCCGCTATGAGAACCAGGCCGGTGCTGCCGGCGGGGCTGCCCTTACTTGCTGCTGTGCTGGCCTGTCCTATGCAGGAAGGCGTTCAGCGTCGCCCGGAGGTCCTCACTTATCTTCTCCTGCAGAGAGAAAGTTCCGGCGTCAGCCACCAGGCAGCAAGCCTGAGGTAAGGCCTTACAGAGCCGAGGCGGAAGGTGCCCAAAGCCGCTGCTGCGGGGTAGACCCTCCTGCAGGGAGGGAGTAGGAGCACAGGCAGGCTTTCATGGCTCTAAATGCAAAAGCCGAAAATAACCTCAGGACTTTAGGAAGCACCACAGATGCGACTTCAGTTTTCTGCCAAATCCTGCGAGCAAGCGGCTGACCCGGCCTGGCCCCCAGCGCACCCGCCCAGCCCTGGCACAGGGAGCACTCACGGTCGCTCGCCGCCTGAGGAAGGCGTCTGCTTCGTCCACGAAGAGCAGGAGGCTGTGAATGAGAGGGTGGCCCGGCGGGGGCGACGTGTGAAGGCCGGGAGCAGATGTTGGAAGCATCCAGAAGCAGGCTGCACTGGCGGATCCCCAGGGAGAATCCTCGCCACAGGGCGTGGGCTCTGCCCCGCCAGGAACTCTCACACGCTGATCCAACAGAAACTGAATCCCACAGCATCAAGACCCCAGGCCACGCCGTCCCCAGCACTTCCGGCAGGCCGTGGTCTGGGTCAGCCATGGTCCGGGGCGGGCCGTGGTCCTGGGTAGGCGTGTGCCATCCCCACAGGCTCCACCCAAATCCTCCCAGGCCCAGAAGGTGGAGGCTGTAGGCTGCTCACAGCCAACACCAGGGGGACGGGGTCTTTGAAAGTGAAAGGTCAAAGGCTAGAGGCCAGAGAAAGGGCACCAACCACAAGGAACTAGGCAACATTGGGGAGCAACAAGGAAGCCAGGCTGAGCCAGCTGCACCCTGCTGCAGGGCACTGTGATGTCTTATTTGGGGTGAACATTCCGTCTGCAACTTTCAGAAGGTTTAGTAAAAAAGAAGTGCACACGCCTACCCTCCACTGAGCGCACACACACCCTCCCGTGAGCACACGCCCTCCTAAGCACACGCACACGTGCACGCTCAAAGCCTGGGCTGGGCTCCTTAAGGCTGCTGAAAAGGCCCCTCCACCATCTGCGCCCGCCCATCTCCCTTCTGGCCCTGAATTAAACATCCGATCAACAGCCCCATGATCACAGGGCTCCACGCTCAGTGAATTTCTGTGGCGGAACCTTCGGCACAAACGCTGGCCCCAAGCCCTGGGTGGCCGTGAGGACAGGGCTGCAGGAAGACAAGTCAGACCTCCCCAGCAGGCAGCCCAGTGTGTGCGTGTTGATGAGACGTCTCACCCTCGCCGGCTGGTGCTGGCCCAGTCGAAGACCTTGTGCATGGCGGTCACACCTTCCCGCCCCATGGGGGCCACGTCCCCGCCTGTCATAATGGCGTAGTCCATGCCCGAGTGCAGAGCGAGTTTCTGGGCAGGAAGGGGTGGGGACACGCAGATGTTCTCCCCTGCAAGGCCGTGCGCCCCACCCGCTGAAGACTAGGGAGGTGTCCCCTCCACGCCAGCGCCCTGAGCCCTGCCCCTGGGCCCCGTCTGTAGCGTGGGGCCCACTCCGCACAGCCAGGTGCTCTCACCTTGGCAAACAGCGTCTTGCCAGTGCCCGGGGGTCCGTACATCAGAAGGTTCCTGTACAGACTCTTGTTCTTCTTGGTGTTCCTTGTTGCTATAGCGATGTCCCGTACCCGCGCCTCCAGGCTGGGCTGCAGGGAAGAGGAGACGGGGGCCTGGGGACACACTCCCCACACGCAGACAGGCGGGGACTCAGGGACACTCCGCTGCAGTCCCCCCACCCCAGGCTGGGTGTGGACGGTAAACCGAACTACAGGAGCCAAAAGCTTACAGGCAAAAGCATGAGGACCCCAGTGGACACAGTACAGCTCAGCCCCGACGTCCCTCCCCAAAGCACCCACACCCACCAAGGGTAGGAAAAGGGTCCATGTGGCAGTCACATCCCAATTCAACAAAAAGCAAGGCAATGGCTAGGAGTATCCTTCACTTCACGTAACATGTTTTCTTAAGCTTCCATACCTACTGTCACTGATTTGCTACCGGCAGGTGCAGATAAGAAAAGAATAAGTAAGAATTAAATCAGAGCACGCTAACACAGTTAGTGACGACATGCGCATGTATCTTCAAGGGTTATTTTGTCACAGGGTGGAACTGACACCGGCCAATATCTGGGTGTTCTGGAGAGACAGTTGGCACTTTCCTAGCTGGAAACTAGTTGATCGTTTTCCCATTCAGTATGATTACTATAAAAACTTCCTAACACACAAAAACACACGAAGAGGGCACCCTCCCCTCCATTTCCAGTCCTGGTTCTTTGTTCACTGTTTCTTACCCTTGGTCTGCGGTATCATGACGGCTTCGAGTAAACTGCGACACGGACATGTCGCCCACCTACAGCAAACACGTCCGCCTAGAGTTCAACACTTGCTCATGCTTTGGTTTTTTTTAGACAGGGTCTCACTCTGTTGCCTGGGTAGATGCGAGTGGCGTCACCGTGGCTTTTGGAAACTCTTGGGCTCAACGATCCTCCTGCCTCAGCCTCCCGGGTAGCTGGGACTACAGGGGCACACACCACACCTAGTAATTTTTTTTTTTTTTT